TGGTTCATGGGGTCACGAAGAGTCGGACATGACTTAACGACTGAACAACAACAACAAAAACAAGTTAGGTGAAGAAGTGGAAGACTATGTGCACATGCTTGGTTTGGGGTATTCAGTAAATGAGAACACTTCTCTGTTTGACCTTTTGTATTCTTCCCTGATTTTAGAAGAGAAAACAGACAGAGGGCCCATTGATTTATCTTGCTGCTTTCTAAAAAATATTTCCATATATAGATTTTGGCCCAATTTACAGTTACTCCAAAGGCATGTTCTTATTGAAGATGAAAAGTAAAACCTTTCAAAACTTAAAGCCCCATAGATATGAGTCATTGGTTTGTGTCTAGCTACCCTCAATATTTCATTATATTTATATAGATAATGCATGACAGTTAAAAGTGAGGGAAGTTTGATGTTGATTTAAGGGATGTGCATTGCCTTTAAATTCCAGTATGTATATCAAAATGCACTACAAAAGGAATATATTATCTGCATTGTTGTCTGTTAAAATTATATGTACTTCAGTATGGATAATTAAATAGGTGTTAGAAGAAAAATAATTATTTTTGTGCAAAAAACTGACTAATGCAGCATGTATTTCTAGTATTTAACTGTAAATGTAAAAACTGAAGAAAAAAACGTTTAATGAAAAAGTCAAATCCTATGCATAGATGGAACATGGCTAGCCTGCAGAGGGCAGTCAAGTATTATTGTTTTGCAGTCTTAAGGTCTTTCAATGTTTCTTCTCAAAGCCACATTCCATTCCTCCTAAAAACAGTCAACTGCATTAATAAAGAAAACGTAGGCCAAAAGTCTTTGTACTTTATTTATTTGTCTTCAGGTATAGGTAGCCAAACCTTTCTAGGGGACAGTGGACTTATATGTTCTGTATTGTTTGTCTTTTACTTCTGTTAATCAGATGGCACCTACAAAATTTATATAAATAAAATCACAATTTTCCCTCCATCCTGGATATACTCTCTAAATTTGGTCCAGAGTTTTTGGTTTCTTCTTGAAGAAATGTTGGGGATGCATATGAGTTGATAGGGGGAGGAATCGTTTACCCTTCTTGGTTCTGTCAGTAGATGTATTGGCATTTGATTTCACCCATTGCTAATGAATTGTTTGCTATCTCAGAATGTGAAATTTTAAGTCATCTTTTAAAATGTCATATAAGAGCTGAAACTGGTGAGGTAGAAACCAGCAGTTATCAGGCTAGATAGGATTGTTATATAAACGTTGAGCAAATATCTCCCACTGTCCAGGGCAGGAAGAAAGCAGTCAAATTGCCATTTATCTGTAAACAGTATTTCAGCTTTAGAACAGAGTTATATACAGTGGTACCTCGGTTCACGAACGCTTCTGTTCACGAACAGTTCGGTTCATGAACAGCTCCATTTGCAAAATTTTGCCTCCGTTCGCGAACGCCAGATCAGGTTATGAACAGGATCCACGGCCATTTTCCCTCCGGTGACATGTGGTCGTGGCTTCCTGTAGGGAGGGGGACTCTCCCTCCAAGCAATATCTGCCTCCCCACCCGCCTTCCTGTCCTCCACGCCAGAAGTCGCGTCAAGCAAGGTTAGCGTTCTCTCTCTTTGTGCTGTACTT